ATGGCAAATAGAAAACTCTGAAACGATGCCAGAAGCAGACACAATGCATTGCATCACTGGTTTCCACAAAGAGCAATGTGAGCAGAGGAATTTGTTAGGCCATCCCTTCTGTTGTTTGCAGATGCAGCTGTGATTATCCTATACTTGTCAAAACACTCCCCAGAAAGACAACCACAAAACCCACATTCTATACTAATAGGCTGTTAAAGTTGAACGGTGCTTTCCATCATTCTTCAGTTTGAGTCATAGAGAAGGTAAGTAATGATGCAGCATGTGAGGTATTATGAGTAAAACAAAAACAACAGAATACAATAGTGGTACAACATTTCTCCGAATTCAGTGAAGAGGGACATTGTACAGTCACGTCAAAGCAGTCAGATAATATGATATAATGTGCCAAACTACTGTAGACCAATATAGTCCCATAGCCAAGCATTCTCTAAGCACAAAATTATTTTTGTTGGTGTGATCATGTTTCATCATAGAATGTGTGATATAAATTTCCTATGTATCGTGGTTTGTTGTCATCATTTTGTGCTAGTTTATTCTCTGCTCATGTAAGAGAACAAATAGCAGCACCCACGACATTCTCACAGCCAGTGGTACTGCAACAAGCTATTTTTAAATCAAATTTTGCAGTGTAAACTGAGCAATATTCTAGATAATTTAATGTAAAAGTCATGTTTCAGTAATGTGATATGGCACAACTATTACGCCCCTATATTTCAGTGCAGGCCAGAACAGTGGGACATGAGAAGTGTAAACGTAACATTCACACACCGTCCTCCAGTCAGTTATCCTTCGGAGAGCAGAAAGACTTTGTAGACACCATACAGCAACATATAGAATGAATATACTGTACCATGTGTATCAGTCTTTTTAATTAACTTGAAGGTAAAAAGCACTATAGCTATCTACTGTAGCTATCTAAATTAGCCATCTGCATTAAACTACTGTAGCTATATGCATTAAACTATTAGAAAATAAGTTACACAGAAACAATCATAACAAAGCAGAACCATCAAAGAATAAGTTTAACAAAAGTCCCAATACCACAGACACCTACTATCAAAGCAATTGCACTCTAGGCACTGTTACAGTTTTTTGTAATTTGTACAAGAAAGCTAAAATGATTTAACAGAAAAAAGTGATTTTACAGAATAAAGTGATTTAACAGAATCTCCACACAAACTCCATATTTACTTCTCGCAAGAGTGTGATTCTATTAAAATCTTTTTAATGTGATGAAGGAAGTAACTTTACTAACAGTAATTGTTTCTCCTTTAAAAAGATAACATATCAGATCACTCCATGCTACATCATCTCAAGCTCATTAAAAAGGAGAGGACTTCATACTAATCAAAATGCATTAGGAGACAAGCATCTGACATTAGCATTAAAATAGCTCCTGAACAAATTTAATTTGACTATACTGGTTAGAACCATGATAGCTTCTGGCCGGATTAGAAAGGATTTTTGTTTTGATAAATGTTGTGATGGTGGATGTGCTTCATTTAAGACAATCTCGCGGGCTGTTGAGAGAATAAAGTCTGAAATTTAAATATTAAACCAAGAAATTATTTCGATTTACAAATTAAATATTAAATTCTTACAGTGAACTAACATGTATCATGATCAGTTTAACCTAAGGCATTATTACTTTTTACAGAAGTTACATTCAAGATCTGCCAGGTGATAAATGAAAGAAACTACTTATTCAGTAGGTGGCACTAGATGTGCTATTGTTCAAATGTTAATTAAGGTTAAAATTAGAATCATTTGGTTAAATTCAAAATGGTCATTTTGAGTCAATGAATCTTTTTAATTAACATTAAATAAATGCAGTGCACAAATGTGTTTTTGTAAAATATATTTAGCAAATTCTGTTCAGTATAACAACTGAATTTTAAAATCTAGAACAGTGCAGCACGAGCTAGCAAATTACCTCCAATCATGCACTCTACACTGAAAAAAGTAAAAGGCATTTAAAAAGAACAAAGAGTACAATGTCACATCTCCCAGGTGACTTTGTAGTAAAGTACTACTTGTCAAACAATCACCTTGGTCTACAATTATTTTGGCACACTCTAATTTGGAGCAATTTATCAAATGTGTTGGCTTTCTGGTGTTTTAGAATATGTTTTAGAGATTTTCAGTGCCTTCTCTTAACTTGGATGATGACTTTTAAGAGATCTTGTATATTCCAAATAGTGCAAGGAGCTAAATTTAAATCCTGAATATAAAGTTAAGGCTTTGGGAATTTTGTTCAATATCAGAGCACTGAGCACATTCTGATTTTATATCTAAGAAGACGTGCCATGACTTAGCAGTCTGGTAAAACTCAGTTGTGAGAGAGGAATGATGATGGCAAAAAGGCAGGCAGTGACAGATAAATACTGTATATTAAACTTGTCTCTGTGTCAGTGTTTTTCCTTTATAGGACAGAAGCTCTTCTCAGTTCTGCAAGGTAGGAGATGTCACACATGCAAATGTTGGTAACGCAAACATACCACCCTTTACATCCCTGGTGATAAATTTCAATGTAGTTGCCAGCTCTCCCCTTCCAAGTGCAGTCTCAGACAGGGTTGGGGGTGGGTGACAGGGACACTGCAAAGACGAATCACCTAGGAGAGTGAGGGTGACTGAGATGGAGCACTTTGAACAGCACAGGCACTGATTAAAAGGTCCAATGACAGGATTCTTACCACAGTGAGGAATTTAAAAATGGGAAGTGTAGTTTCTTAAATCACAAGAACTTCTCTTTTGGACAATGCATCAATGCAATCCCTGGGAAAGGGCATACATGATGTTTGAACATGATTCTGGCAAGTAAATATTAAAGCAAGAAGTATATACACACTTCTCAAGTATGCGGACAGTAATTGCTTTATTTTGGGCTTTACAGGCACTACAATATTTTTGTTGTAATGAACAGTTAAACTAGTATTTTAAAAAGTATGCTTGTATTTTAAAAATGACTCAGAAGAAAAGAGTGAGTTACATTTCTTACTGTACAAAATGCCTTTAAAACTTAATTTACAATATAAAAGGAACATCATTTTTAAGGCTGCTCTTTTCAATAAGATGCTAGAATTTTTTCTCATTTTCCTGAGTTTAGGACTGAAAAACCCCTGCAGTGAAGCTGGCAGGGAGACTGGCAGTTCAATAATGGACTAAGAATACAGCGTGTCACAGTTATGATTTGTGGAGCCTTTCAGAAGCGTCTGCTGTGATTGAAAAAATAAATTGATGCCAAAAGCTGGATAGCTAAGGAACATATTGAGAATCAGAAGAATAAAGTTACATCAAAGAAATCAAACATTGTCATGACATATCATTATTATTATATTAATCGTGATATAGTGCCTTTCCTGCTACATGGTCTCATATAAAGAAATAAATCAAGTGTTATTTTAGGTAATCATCCATGTCTTAGGTTGCTGCCCTTACCTACTAATTTATCTAAAAAGCTGTTCCTCTGAAATTAAAACCATCAGATGAACATGTTCACAGATCAATATAGCAGTATAATATTATGATACAACAGGATGCACACATTGTTCATTTCGAGTTATCTACTGTTAACATATCCTAACACCATAAGAAGTATATGCCTCGTGAACAATATCCTTATAACATATAAGTTGTTGGGTAACTGACCTTAGTGACTTGTTAACTACATGTCACTTGAGGTGCAATTTTAACACCATGCCATTAAGATCCCATTAATTTATTATAAAGGAGACAATCACTCCGATCACATAATTATACTTAGATAAGAGGGAGGGTGGTAAGGGATTGTACCTTTGTGTTTTGAAATGAGTCAGAAGATGTACAAAAAATTACTGAAAGGAGAGACAATACTGAGGCTATCTTAAGTTTCCTGCTGCCTCTGCTGCTGTTGAAAGAGCAAAACTAGGTCAATCTCTGGAATAGAAATGACAGCTTTAATTCCTTTGTCAAAGCTCAGAGACAGGCTGGCATGGGAAGGCTTCTTGTTTTTCTTGCTTAATTGGAGTGTATCATTTTGCAGAAATAGAGCAAGAGCCACTGCAGCTTATATCAGGACTGACACATTCACTTCAGAACAGGAAGAAACACCAAAAGAGCTCTTCAAGCCTCAGTGAACTGAGTTAGCATATGCCAGTGTATATCTGAAATGTTCATTCTGCAGAGTGGTGCCACCAAGTGGTTACTATTATAGTGTTTTGTTTTTTCTTTGTATTGTATGTTGCAGCACTTGCTGCTTAAATTGTCCCCCTGGGGATAAATAAAAGTATTTTGACTTGAAATCATTTTTATTTACTACATGGTAAAAAAGCTAGATCATACATGACTTACAAAAGGATAAAAGGAGATCTGGTTGTCTTACATAAATGGGATGTTAACAAGGGCCCAAGAAACAATCTTCAGCGATGTGTTTTGTTTCAATTTTTCAGATGATTCATTCATATTGAAAACTGGGCAAACAATTTTAAGCCATTTTGAGCATGATTAAATTCTATTTAAATGCATGAAAGACTCAAAAGATAATAACTGTTCTAAATGTACATTTCTTTGTCACCAACACTGAAGTTCTTTTGGACCCATTTCAACTCTAAAAAGACCTATAACTTCAACAGGTCTGGAGAACCAATCTGCTAGTAATTCAGATAAATGTCTCTGACATTTCTGCCTAAACCACATTTAAGATGCAATTTATACACGCAACTACTATTGGCAAAAAGCAAAAAGCAAAGTCATGCATTCTTTGAGTGCAGACCATAATCTTTGATGCCTAGAAAATATTCACATAATTGTCTTTCTAATCCACCTTTTTGCAACAACAATACTGCATTTACAGAGTGCCATATCTGTAAGAACATCCCAGGACTTTACACTGTTAGTGTAAAATAAAACTTCAGGTCATAAATCCACTTCCACACTACTCAGCTGGAACGAGGTAAAAAAACCCATTGATAGCTCTGCTGCCACATAACCCAGAGAGAAATAAACTCCAGTTAGCAGAGGAAGATCAAACTTTATTTATTGAAACTGCTTGCATACAAAATATATTGCACTATAACCAAACAATGTCAACATAAAACCCAATCTGTTCAGCTAATATGTACAGAGAAAAATATTGCCCCAAGTGCAGTTACATACAAGGTCAGTCTACCTTGGTTAATTATCTACAGTATTTTTTTTAAGGTTTTGAACCATAACAGCCTACAATGACATGTGCAAGAAACCTTTCAAATCTCATATACATTCCCAAAATAAATAAGTGAAATCAGTCTGTTTGGCAACATTTTGAAGACATTTAATGCCTCAGTTTAACAATGCGCTGCAACGTCTTTCTGTGTATGTTATGCATCTGTAATACAAGACAGGAGTAAACACAGGCAGGACTAGTTTTAATACCCATCCATTGATGCTGGTCTCAGTCCTAGTGAGAAAACCAAGGACTACCTTTCTTTTTAATATTGATAGCTATGTTTAACCAGTTAAAATCTTCAAAATGCAGCACCGTTCAACAACTTAGGAAAGGTACTCTAAAGTATTTCGAATCCAGCTTTATTTTTCAGTCTAATCATATGTGTAATAATAAAACTCATTGTTTCATTCTGGCTTAACCTGCACTTTAACAAAGGATAGAAATGGATCAACAAAAGCCACGTGTGAATGTTTCCCTACCCTGACTTTAAACCCAGAAATTAAAAAAAATGAACCCCATTTATGTTTTTATATTGTATTCTAATATCCCTATATGCTGAATCTTGAGGATAAAGTCTGTCCTGTTGTGCATTTAGCTTTTTTCCTGTTAAAATGCATCCTTGTTGAACTACAGTTGAACTTCATTCATAACCTTACATATCTGTTCTTCGTGCAATCTGCTCAAAGAAAACTCCTTTTTCACAGGGAATCCTGCGAAGGGATTCACTAATGCAAAGAATTTGAAAATGAAGCGAATGCAAAGGAATGAGGAGAGTACAGGCAATCTAATTTCTCATTTTAAATGTCACAGGGAAACTTATGGTGAGTTTACATTGAGTATGCAACAGGTTTAGAACAACTTGAAGTCCTTGCAATAAATGCATATTACTCAAAAAATAAGCTTAGTGCAAAAGCACTGATAACACAATATGCTTGTAATAAACCTAACTGATCCCTTCATTTGTTCCTCATGCAAAGTTAGCTATAGGTGAAGCTTGACCTTAATATATGGAAAATACATGGTTCAGAGAAAACAATGTTTTTTCTGCAAGTAATAGTCTATTTTCCTCTGTTGTAAAAATGGTGTTTACAGTGGATATGTATTCTAACAATGCCATGAATGACTTACGGAATAATGCTAATGTCTTAATGAAATCACAGAAAGATAATTTGGAAATATTGGAAAAATGCTTTTGTTTATCTATTCAAAAGACTTGTAGCTTTGCACTCAGATAATACTGTATTGTCTCAATGCATTATACTTCCAAATCCCATTGAAACAATTTGTAATCCTGTGTATAATTTGGGATCTTTTAAATTCAAGTTAACACAATAATTTGGAAGGACCACTTTAGGAAAGAAAATTGGATTCGTTTGGACCCACAGAGCAAAGCATTTTGTTTAGTCTAAGTACTTTGAAAACCATCCATATATATTTTTTATATGTACTAAATGTACATTTTGGGATGACAAAAAATAAAATTAAGACATGCCATTCATCTTGGTAGTCCTGGCTACCGCAGGTTTCTTCAGCATTGCTTCTGCTTAACCAATTTCTTATAGTCTCCAAGTCAAAACAAAGTTGTACAACGCCTTGATAAGACAAAACTAAGAATCTCTACACAGCTTTTCTAGGATACACAAAAAGTCAAGATAATACAAGTATTTGCTTGATGAATTTCTCTTATAAAAAAACAACTGTCTACTCTAACACTGCCTTTGGGACTATTTTAGGCAAAATTTAAACAACCACAATCCTTACCTCAAATAGGGGTCACACCTTTCACTTTATCATGATGCATTTATTTGATACCATAAAAAATTGCAAAGCAGATTATTTTTTTAACCTAACCTTTCTCAAAGAATGTTTTATCCCTGCTTGAAAAAAAATAAAAAGAATAAAATACAGCTTTCTTCCCCCAATACTATTCTATGAGATTTCAGTGCAAAAACATCTAAACAAATTTTTATACTTGTTACACAGATGGAGTCTTTTTTTCAGAAGAACAAAAAAGTTATGAAAGCATGCATTCTTCCAGAAACAAGGAATTCTCTTTTGATGAATGAGCAAGATCTCTACATACAAATATATTACATTAGTGTTGTCCACTTCTTCTTCCCTGATTAATACATCCAATTAAGATACTATCCCAACTATATTAAAGGCACAGGATCATACAGGATTTTTTTTTGCTAATGATGCAACAACTGTAACCCCTCATTGTTAAGAGGTCCACAAGAACAATGTGGACAACGGACATGAAACAGATAAACCATGTTAGTGGTCAAAACAGTGTCATTAAGTTCTAAGAAATCACAGGTTGAAAACTAAAAAACTGCATTAGATGTTACTGAACACAATCTCAAAACCTGTATTAAAGAACATATGTTATCTGTTTAAAATGTTGCATTTCATATATAGGTAGTTTTCTAGAAATTCAGGTTGAAAACTGCAGTTTCTCTCCACATCTACCCTTCTCTTCCCCAACCTGCGCTCAGCCAGTTCATTTTCCAACTTGATTCCTAGAAAATTAAACCACTCAGCTCCCTCCTCTATCAGTTGTAAATGCTAATGTTTTCAATTCAAGTGTGCTTATTTCATGTCATGTGACAGTCCTACTGACCCAGTTCTCTTTGGCCTACCATGGTTTTCTAATGAAGAAGCTTCTGGATTAATGAAAACAGTACAGAAAATGGTATTGTACAGATGGGACCCTTGTCTATGACACTCCGTTCACCAGCACTCTCGGGGCATCCAGACTGTCCTGCTTCTCTTTCTTCGGCCCACGGTCTTTGCCGGGTCTTGGCCGGCTGCTGCTGTTGCTTGTTCCACTGTCAGCAAAGGAACTCTGAAGTGCTTTAGTGTGAACGCTCCTCTCATTATTGCTGTCAATCCTGATCTGCAACAAGAGAAACATTCTGAAATGTGAGGGACTACGTCATGTAGTCTTCATATGTAGTGCCCTATGTTGGTGTCTCTTCTTCAAAAAAGGGATTCTAATCATTGCATCAGTTCTAACAACAAAACAGCACACACATAACTTTTAACATCCAACCACAAATGTTTTTCGCCATTCGCTTTATACACAATTCATTTCAACTGCACTAAGTAATAAAATAAATTATCAAGAAAATGCATTGCTAACTCTTTCCTACAAAATGAAACCAGCTTTCGATACAGCCATGTATCTTTTCACAACCTATCGAGACATATTTAAAAGCAGACTAATGGAGTCTTTCGCTGTCCTCTACTTAGGTAAGGAAATTACCACGATTACTAGGGTTGGCTACTAAAAGCATGAATTATATGCATCTGAATACATGACAGCTTTGTGAATGGATCAGTATTGGCTGATTGCCTTTTCATAAAGCAATGTAAAAGCTAATACATATCAAAATCAAATTCTTAGATATTTATAGCAGCTATTTGACAAAATAGACGTCCCATCGATTTGTGTAAATTACAAGGAATTGATGTAACAATTTTATTTAAATTTGTGAGATCTGCTATTAATTCTGCTTCTAAGAATTAAAGCTAGGCACCCTGTACACAGAAACAGCATTTACAATTCCCTCTTTCAAATATCTGTCAAGATCTAGAAGAGAGGCTATTCCTAACACAAAGATGCAATTCAGATTCTAGAAAAGTACTGCGTGACCTCAGTCACTATGAAATGAATTACCTGCAAAGAATCCTCCTGCTGCCTTGGTTTAGGGTCTCTAGAGTTACGGGCCCGGGATTCGTTCCACTGTATCTCCTCATTTCCTGAAAAGGTGCCAAATTTATGTAATGAACATCAAAGCAATCACTGCAGAACGCTTACTCATCAGATTCATAAAAAGAGAAAAAACGCAGAAATCTGGCATGCTAACCGCACTGACCTTTATACCCTCCACGGCCTCGACCCCCTCGACCCCTGGAGCCCCCACCCCGTTTACGCCCATCGCCACGCCGAGTGAACACATCTCTCTCTTCGTCTGTGGGTGCCAGGGACCAGTCGCTCAACTCGTCCCTATGGTCCGACTCAGTCTCCGACGCATTGGATGCTTCAGAGTTGGTGCCTGAAAACAAATAAAATGTCTCCAGTAATAATAATAATAATAA